GATGTACAGAACTATTTTTTAAAACAAGATGGGTTGCTAAGTCCAAACAGTCATTAAGTGAATACCTTATAGTATATATAACATATTAACTTCTTGAGATTGGCTTTTTCCCACTTTGACTCAACACAGGCCCCTTGAGACCTTTCTAAATTGTTACATGTGTTTATAGCTTTGTTCCTTTATATTGCTGAGTTGTAATCAGTGGTGTGGATATACCATTGCTTAACCATTCTTCCATTAAAAAGCATTTGAACTGTTTCAGATTTTTGGCTGTTACAAATAAAGCTGCTGTGAACATTTGTGTGCATGTTTGTAATAACCCTTGTATTATTTTCATATATTTTAAACACTTGCAATTTTGCAAGCCAGCAGTAAAATATTGTCCCCAATATTTTACTAATTAGCACTTTATAGTTTTTAAAGCTAACTGAAACACTGTTTCACTATAATTATAAAACAAGATCAATGCAAATGCCATATTAGTCTCAACATGTGATTCATCATTAATTATATCATTATTTTGGCTCTATGCACAACTACATTAACATTTTTGTCTTACAAAATCAAGTTACCAAAGCTTTTTTTTTTTTTGGTATTTTAGGGAAGGGTCTACAGGGTATTCAGGGTCTCACTACTAGATCAGATTCTAGTGATACGTCTTTTACAGCCTTCCAAGAGCTGGGATTACAGGTGTGTGCCACCACACCCAGTCTCAATTGCCAGCTCAGTGTGTCCTGGGGGTGGGGCCAGCCTGGCAGGCCTGGGGATCAGACCCCAAGCCTCTGTGCCCGTTTGCAGGCACTATAATCCGCAGAGCTATTTGGCCAGCCCTCAAAGTTATCAAAGTTTAAAGGAGTATCTACACTCTATTATATAAAGACATTGAAGAACATTGGATCAGCTGTAGAAATAAGATTACAAGGGGCCAGAGAAATGTGGAATTCAGTGGAATAAGTGCTTCCCTAGCAAGCGCAAGGGTCTAAGTTCAATCCCCGGTTCCGCCAAAAAAAAAAAAAAAGAAATAAGATTACATAACTGATTTTTTTTTTTATTTTTATTTTTCTATTTTGTGATCTGCATTTTCTTTTTTTTTTATTTGTTTTTTAGAAGTGTATTATTAGAAGAGTGAAATAACAAAAAACTCCATGATATGTATATCAGTTACATATAAGGTTTACAATGCATTAATATTCTCATGCGTTTCTTACTAGTTTGACCTTACCAAAAAGCCACTGAAATGTCCAGGACAGCTCATAGGGACAGTTGGAAGCCTGAAATAAAATTGTCCAGGGTAAAAAGGACCCCAAGCCATTCATACAATTATAAATGCAAGCTTAGACTTTTTTTTTTTTTTTT